AATGAATGTCGAAAGTAATCCGTGCTCACCATCGCACTGTGATTGGTCCAGAAAACTCTCAGTACTCTCATAACCAATCAGATGTAAAACCAAAACCAATCACGTGGTGGTGATTACTCGTACGTGCTTTTGGACACAACCTTAGCTGATAACAAAGACCATTGTTGTGGATGAGAACTTTGTTTTGTTTTTGTTTTTGTTTTTGTTTTTTTTGCCAATTAGCCTTTAAAGGTCTTCCTCATCATTTCAACCTACGAGAATTGCGGTTATGAATAATCGAAATATATAACCTTCTCTGAATATTCGGCCCGTTAGATCTAAAACTTTTCCCAGTCACACGATGCTGAAAGTTAGAAGTTTTAAAAAGAATATATTTTAGTACTCATTGGTACTTTTGCCACCTAGAAAGTTAGCCGTTTGTGATGGCGAATATATCAGTGAATGTCACTCGCAAAAAGCTGCAAATTTCACATTTTTTTTAATATTTGAAATAATTTCTTCTTTAAACCGACTACTTTTCCATGAAACATGTATGCTAATTAAACGAAGAAAAATTTAAATAATTACTTAAGCAAAGATCTCATAACTTAAATGAAATACTGGTGATGAGTTTTCATTCCCGAATGACATTCGTTAACATTTATATCTTATTTGACGTTTTGTTGTGTAGTATTGCTGAGTATTTTTACGAGTTGTGCCGTATTTTGCGAGCCCGTAGTCAAAATACAAATAACGAGTAAAAATACTCAGCGATACTACCCAACAAAACGTCTAATAAGTTATTTATTATCCAACACGCCAAATTTTTATTTCAGTGCGGGCGAATTTCGCGGATATTTATTTACGGGGAGTGCGTGACAGAAGTATGCAAAGCGGAAACGAATTGGCGCGTTGTCATGCTCTCTCTATTTTCTTCAGTAAATGAAGAAGTTTGCTGGTTGTCTAACTGTTTTTCTTCGTTCAATTGATCTAATAAACCTGGATCTATATTTGCCAGCCATTCCGACTCTTCGTCGTCGGAAATATGATTCAGATTGTACGGCATTTTTGTTTTCGTAACTTCAATCAATCAACCTGTCTAACCGGTTCTCTGGAGTGCAACTACCGCGTGATATTTGTACTCGTCTATGGCGTTATTTGCACTCTACGGAGTGTAGTTGGATAAGAAAGCAGCATAATCTAAAACTCCATTGCGATGGTAAAAATTCCAGACTAACAAAGAGATTTAAAACCGCAAGCTTCTTTCTTTTCTAAGATTTCAAGTGAAGGTAAATAGAAGGCTCTCAAGACCTCACAAAAGATTATTCTTATGTTTTGTTATTTGTATATCCTGCTGTGACGCCATCCATATCCATATTTCTCATTACGTCGTAGCAAGACAAAAGAGTTAAATACATTCCATACTCCTCCTCACGTTTTCCAGTTACAGAATATCAGAACAGTTTTGATCAATTTGGACTCGATTTGTTCGTCTCCGAAGACCTGCGCGGGAGAAAAGAGCTGGAAGTCAAAAGAATTGCTACAAAAACCTAGGAAATAATTTTGGTTCAGAAGCTCTCTTCTAAGGAAAGGAGGCAATTTAATAAATAAACTCTTTTCGTTTTCAAGTCGACTTACAATCGCGAGACGAGTTGCTCACAGGCGAAAGATATAGCCTCACTTTTCCAAATATAACTGGCAACGTGTACCTTTCTAAGAAAAAAAAAACTTTCTTTCTTTCCTCCTGCCTTGTCATCGACTGTTCATTTTTTTCACCCAAAAGTAACATAGATGTATTTCCGAGGAAAATAATGTATTAAATTTGCCCCGACTGGAGGAGAGCATTGAGACTGGAAGAGTATGATACATCTGCCGAGTTTGGGTTGAAAATATGCGTGCACTTAGCTATTTGGTTTAAATGTTTTGTCCGCGACTGTTGAGAACCTGATAACTTAGCTACATTTTGCCACGTACATTGCACAAAGAAGGGGTAGCTGAATACATGTAAAGCGAAAAGTTCCGGTGTAAAGGATGTACATGATTTTATCAAATTCAATTTTTTACCGTGGGACCCCTTACCCACTCCCACTTAACACTTGAATTTAACTAAGAGTGGAAGCTAATTGATCGCATGAGAAACCTTTTGCAAAAATGATTTTGGTTAAGAATCAAGCTTAGGCATTTATAGAAGAATTGTAAGAAAATACTTTTCCGTAATTCTTGTGGCTACTGCCTCCTATAAAAGACAAAGCCGCATTAGTCGTCAATGACTGAGTAATGGTAACAATAGGATTCCGATCTTGACCCAATTTTGACCCGGCAATAAACAAATAAACCTGTGTGGGTGGTAGTGACTATACTGTGTGCTATTATTACCTGTCAGTTATAGTCACTATCACCCACACAGGTTTATTTTAAGTAGAGGGATTTCCGAGATTGCAGTGTTTTAATTATACTTCACTTCTTTTTAAATATTTTTTTTGTTTACCGTAGAAAATAACAAATTATCTAGTTATCGCGTGACATTTGTACTCGAAATCTGTTATCATTTACTTAGCGCAGCTGAATAATAAACCCGAAAACTTGAAGCTTCCTTAGGCCGACAACAGTTATTCAGACAAACTAAGACACAACATACTACCAGCCCCTTTCTTTTATTTTTAAGAACCATACAAACACAAAAATACATTACACCTTTTTGTTAGTTCATCAGTTCGTTTCGCTATCCGTCTTAATCTATTTTCTATCGAAAATGTTCAAATTAGGCTCTTTACTATACAAAAAAAAAAAGTCAGTCGTCGCAAGTGTGATAAGAGATATCAAGTCTCTTATCAAAACACATTTCCGGCTTCAAATTGTTAAACAGTTAATTCCACTGATCCGTCTTAATCTATTTTCTATCGAAAATGTTCAAATTAGGCTCTTTACTATACAACAAAAAAAAAGTCAGTCGTCGCAAGTGTGATATGAGATATCAAGTCTCTTATCAAAACACATTTCCGGCTTCAAATTGTTAAAAAGTTAATTCCACTGATTCGTTCGTCCCAGAGGACCTGCACAAGGAAATGAAAAGAAAAGTCAACGAATTTGTGGCAAAAATATAACGCAAGAAATTTATAGAGAGAAGCTCCAAAGCAGATAGAGTGATGGTAAAAAAATTCTCACTGAATGAATTTTCAAAGCGACCTAGGTAACCTCTTTATTCTAAAAAACATTTCATCGAGATTATGACGGAAAAAGGTTCTCAATAGCTTATGGCTATGATCGACTGGGACAAATTGAGACCCTTAGGAAAGGGTTGACTGCGTTTTCGTAGGGGGTCAAATGTATGATATATTTGCAATGGACATAAAGTTTCTGAGCATATCTAACTGCGTACAAGAACAGATTTGGAGAAACATTTGATTTCACCATTCAACCCTAGAGAACGTCATTTTTACTCTTGACTGGACAGTGTTAGGAAGTAAGGTAGAGACGTCGTCAAAATATATTTTGCCAACAGTTTTACGGAGCTTTTTTATTCTAATAACGTTTTTAACTAGTCAGAAAAAGGTTCATATTATACGGCCTACCTTGTTACTTAGCCTTGGTGTTCATCGTTTTCTGTGGGACATTTTTTTCGGTTTGGCGGAACTGTATGGTTTTCGTTCTCCATTCTTCGTCTTGGTCTTCTTTCTCCATCTCTTATCAACTCCAGTCTCCTCACTCGTTCACGCTGTTCATTATTTTCAACTGGTTCTCTCTGCCGCCCAGTTCTATCACCTTGCATCAGGAAATACAGGATCGTCAACAGAAGAAAGACAACGAATAGATTGAAAAATTCTTGATTTGTAAGCATGATGCGGAGAATGTTTCAAGAACGGACCAGCATAAGTGAGGTAAGCCGTATACTGAAAGCTTTCAGCTTCGATCAATTCCCCCCACGGCACTGATAATTGAGTATTCCACCAATCTAATCTATCGCTCTTGACGTCATGTGCTTACCCAACTGCGAAGCGGCAAACCGCAAAGCAAAACGCAACGCAGACCTGTCGCGTTCATTGATCATAAACATACAGTTAACTTTGGCGTAACTCTTCCCTGAAACAAAATTCACAGAAAATGTTTGCCTGTAAAATTTCCTAACACCGCTTTTTATAAAGTTTGAGTTAGTCTTTTCCTCATCTAAAGTGCAATCTATACAAATTTTGCTGCACATTACCGCAACGTGGACGGAAAACAACAAACAATGGCGGGAGTTGGTCTGCTGATTTTGTAATGTTAGAAGGAAAAGAAGAAAAATTTGTTTTGGTATGAGGTTGAGCATGATATCATGAATTATCAAACCGAGGTTTGAGGTATCTGCCGAAGCCGAATGCTGAGGAAGTTAAGTCAGACACAAGGTTTGATAACTCATTATATAACGCGAAAATTGAAGTCAATAACTGTTTTTTTTTTTTGTACATTTTTAAACAACCTGCGAAA